CACAGCTTTTCGGTATCAATCACAGCAAAGTCACGACCACGTCCAGGTTCACTCATGTAAGATCGTTGGGTTTAAACTTATTGACTTGTACTACTGATCTCCTGGCAACTTCAGCATACAACCCTACAGAACCCATAGCCCTCTAGGCAAACTCATCCTCGCCAACCCACTCGTACTCATCATCCTGCTCGGCATCTCGGTCCTCGTCGTCCAGTATGCAGTAATCCTCATCGTCAATCTCCACCTCCGTCGTCTCGCCCTCCGTCTCGGAGGAGGCATCCGACACCGCCACTTCTTCGGGGGCTTCAGCGCCCGACTCGCGGAGCATCACGCACGTGGCGCAGTAGCAGCTGTCGAGAAGGATATCGTCAGATTCCGCACAGTCGCAGACCATGTCCTCGCCATCGCAGGCCTCGTCGTCGTAGCCGCCGATGTGGGACCAGGAAGCGTTGGCGCATTGGCATTCGGGGCACGGGAACTGCTCTTGCTCAGGCTCGTCCTCCTCGGTTTCGTCCTGCTCGGGCTCCTCCATCACAGGCTCGTTCTCCATCACACTCTCATCCTTGTGTGAAGGCTCATCGTTGTATGAAGGCTCTTCATCGTACGAAGGCTCGTTCTCCTCCCAAGATTCGTCTTGACCGTCCTCTGAAGACTCGTCATCGTCCTCATCTTCATCATCTGAAGAATCATCCTCCTCTGAAGAATCATCCTCCTCTGAAGAATCATCCTCCTCTGAAGAATCATCCTCCTCTGAAGAATCATCCTCCTCTGAAGAATCTTCCTCATCTGAAGACTCGTCGTCGTCCTCATCTTCCTCGTCTGAAGACTCATCCTCGTCCTCATCTTCCTCGTCTGAAGACTCATCCTCCTCAGAATCCATCAAAGTAGGTGGATCATCCTGGTTGTAATGGTTCATGGAATCCTCATCGTCCTCAACGTAAGGTTCACAGTATCGCACTGGCTCATTCTTTTGTGTGCATTGCTCGACCTCGTCACCCACCTCTGCAACGCTATCTGCAGCCTCTTCGGGGACCTCGTCCACATCAGGATACAATGGACGTGTTGCAGAACTAGTCTGAGGAGTGTTTTGAGGAGCCTCTGAAGAAGCAGCCTCCTTCTCCGCCATCTTCTGGATCATCCTGTCGACCGAGGTGGATGCCCTCTGGAGGTCCTCGTTCAAGGCCCGGACGGTCGCCGCGGTGGAGATGTGCAAGTTCTGGAACTTGGCGGCGAGTGTGTTGTACGCCAACTCAAAGTCGACGGGCGGCTTAGGAGCAGGCCGGGGGGGTTGAGTCGTTGCTCGGGTCGTTTCTGCCCAGACGGGTGCCGGCGGGGGAACAGAGGGTGGCGGCGGGACATCATAGCAGGCTGTGTACTGGAGAGGATGGTTGGGCGTGTATGGGGTAGGATAGCTGGGCCTGTTCGGCGGGGTGGCAGAGTAGAATGCCGGGACGGCAGCGTAGTTGAGTGTCGACGGGGAAGCATAGTTCATCCAGTTGGCATAGTAGGGCGTCGACGGGCCAGTACAGTTGGGCGGGTACGGAGAGGTATAGTTGGGCCTGTACGGGGTAGGATGCTTGAGGTCGAGACAGGGACGCAGATTGTAGTAGAACATATGGTCGTTCTTCTCTTGCTCGGGGGTCTTCTTAGCTTCGTTCCGGTTCTCGGGCCGTGGGAACGGTGAAGCCGGCATTCGAGCCTTTTCTGTCGAGACGGTTGCCGGCGGGGGAACATTGTAGGAGCCGTGCGACGCAGCGATTATGGGAGTAAACTGCCCGCGAAGGGTGTCCACATAGAGCGACGGCTGCTTGGGTGTCGGGTAATGTCTTTGTGAAGGCTGTGGGTACGCCCTTGCGGTCGTCCAGATTGGACGGTCGCCGGAGGGCATCTCAGCCCCGTTGCCCCGACTTTCCTTCTTCTCCTGCCCCGGAGCTTTCTCCATTTCGTTCTGCTTCCCTGGACGGAGACTGGGGCCCGCCGGAGTCTGGGCTGCTTCTCTTAAAGAGGATGTATCATATGGGTTCTGAGGCGGAGGATGATGAAGCCCAGAACCAGTTCCCCGAAATCGTATTTTCCCTTGTTCAAGGTCCTTCAAGGCCTTCTCGGCCGTCCGCATTTGCTGGAGCAGCGCGTCTTCACTGCGTTTATTCCTGTTCATCGTTTCATGGAAAGCTTCCTTTGTGCTTTGAGACCGGCCGTCGCTTGTCACCGCGGGCGGCGTCGGACCCTGATGCATCCAGGCTGCGGCCGATTGCTTAGCAGCGCGAATGCTAGGCGGCCCCTCAAGCAAACCACCAACGACGCTACTACCGAGATCCTCTTGTAAAGTGTCGCGGGCCTCCGCGTTGAGAAGCTGCCTCTCGGGAGAAGCCCAGAAGTTGCAGGACACGGCGTCTCCCTTTTCAGCATCCTCATTCCGGAGGTTCGACGTGGGAACGACTTGACGGCGTGGCGCGTAAGTCATGGGGGGGTTCGCGACGTAAGGAACGTCAATCTTCTGCTTCCCGGCGGCCTTGTCGTCAGGGGTGTTGGTCTGGTCGACCTCGGCAGTGCTGTCCTTGCCCTTGAACAAGTGCTGGTACGCCTCTGCCAAAGTGACGCGCTTGACGTTCTCGCTCTTCCACTTCTCGAAGCCGGCCCTGAATTTCTTGCGCACACGCTCGTTGGACTCAGCCTCGGCCTCGGCTTCGGTCTTGGTCTTCTTCGAGGCCGAAGCAACAGTCTCTCTCTCGAGCTTCTCCTCCCGCTGCCGCTTCACCCTCTGCAGCTGAACGTCCATCTGCGCAGCCGAGTCGGCCCAGTACTCCTTGCGCTTCCACTGCTTTTCGTGCTCCGACAAATCCGAAGCGCGCCCCAGCACCGCCGACATCGTCTCGTTCGAACGCTGAGGCCAGCCTCTCAGGAAACTGTCCGGGTTGGAGAGGCCTGTCCAGTGTGGGTCATGGAGCACATCTGACAGGAAATGCTCCTTGTCACCGTTATCGACGACAAGATCTTCTTCCATTTGGCGTTGTCTAGCCTCGAAGGTCTGTAGGTTGTGTTCTCTCTTGGCGGCCTTATCTTCGGCTCCACGGTCGACGGCTTTGCCCTTTCCCTTGACGTCAGTCTCTTCAGGAGACGTCTCGGAGAACATTGACTTTATCAGAGGCATACCCCAGGCCTTCTTGAAAGTATCAAGAATCTCCTTCGTAGGCGAATAGAACAGAGGCTGCGCAGTACTCTGCCCCTCGGGACCGTCATTGCCGTCGGTCGACCAAGAATCAGAACCGGCCTTCAGGTGCTCGATAATCTTCTTCATACCGTCGCCACGGTTTTCTTTGGGCTTGGCAAGCCCGCCATTCTCCGGCTTCAAGGAGCGCTTGAGCCCCTTGAGCTCCTCGTCGGTCGGGGTAAACACCTTCCTCAGCGTAGCCGCATGCTGCTGATCCAACTCCCAGGCCAATTGCTTCGCGGTCTTGTCGTTCTGGCGCTTGATCCGCGCCTCCGTACGCTCATTAGCGCGCTCCCACGCAGCCCACGCCTCAATCCGTTCCTGTGTCGTGGACTTTGTGTGCCCGCCTCTGGTCTTGGGATGTTGGAACCGGCTTTCCGGCCACTTATTAGCCCTCTTGGGGATTCCGCTGCCACTCGCCTCGGGCTTCAGCGCGGCCTTCTGCTTCTCTACTGTGGCGCGAACTCTCTTCTCTACCAGTTTATCAATGCGCGCTAGGAGGGCCAATCCCTCAGACTGTTCCGTCGTCTCGGAAAGCTTCCGTCGCAGCCGCTGGGTCTCGAGACGCATCGTAAGCGTGTCCGCGGTGGAGCCCTTGACGCACTCCTCGCTGACCGTTCCGACAGGCGTGAGGCTGGCGTTGTGCCACTTAACTTGGTCGGCGAACAGCTCCAGGGCGCGGGAGACCTCGGCCTCGGTGATCTCCGTGTCGAGCTTGCGGCCCTCGGAATGGCGGATGCCAAGGACGCAGTCCTCCAAGGCCGTAATTCCGGGGATGGGCGCGCCGTCGGGGAAGACGGAGAAGAAGTAGCGTGTGAGGCCGTTGCCCGCTTGCATTTTGGCCAGGATCTCCTTTCTCTGCTGATTCAAGCGTTCCTCGTTCTTTCTGTTCTCTCTGCGGGTGCGGACGGCGGCCTTGACTTCGTCCCTGGTGTACTTGGCGTCCATTGAGGTACCGTTCAGACGCCTGTTGTCTGCCATGATGGAGCTGACGGGCTTGGGGATATTTAGGTATGTGATCGAATCCTCAGTCTCGTCGTTACGCTGGGAGAGGCCGGCGCCCTTTCGCCACGACGATGACGAAGAGGGTGATGGCGGCTGCGCCGTGTTCTTGGTTGGGAATGACGTATGGATATTGTATGGGTTGAACATCTTGTTGGATTTGATTGTTTGGTGTACTGAGACAGAACCAACTTGTAGATCTGAAAGTTCGACAAGTAGGAAAAAGAGGGTGAGCGGCGTGTGTCCCAAAAGTTTCGACTTTATACCCTTCTACCACAACGGAATTATGTCGAAGCCACCTTTCTGGCATGGCTTGCAAACTGCCTTCTGGCGACCCATGGGCATCAGAGTTCTCACGGTAAGGTTGCCAGGCAATACGCCTGGAAGGTAAACGCAGGTGTAGGTGGGCTCTATTATTTACCACAAACTCCCACAGGACACCTTGATGAGATGTCCAAATGCTGTTGAAAAATACAAACACAAAGGGGTATCCATGCAAAACGCTCTAGAAAATTCCAAGCCTCAACCTCTATGAGGCAGATATTCCGACTTTCTCTGCGAACCGGAGCCGCCAAAGTCGGGCACCAAGGTCGCAACCGAGGTGACTTTTGTGAAAAGACATAGGGGGTGTAGACGGACACTATTCGTCGCCCACAAAATCCTCGCCGTCGGATTCCAATCCGGGATATTCGGAGCCATCCCCCTTCATTTTGGAGACGGCCTGAGTGATGAACTTGTTGTCAGGCCTCAAGGCCGCGTATATGTGCGGCACTACGGTGACAGGAACCTAGTCACGTGAAGCCGTTGTCATGGCCTTGATATGCTGCAGCTGTTTGCCAGCCATGCGCCACAGGAGGGTGGACTTTCGCTTGTACCAGTACTTGAAGGCAGTACTGGCGCGAATCAAGGCCCACGTAGTGTGCTCCTCCGTCTCGAACGACTGTTTGAGATACGCCGTGACCAAGGGGTTGAGCTCCTCGTCTGCCCGAGGCTGAATGGCACACCATAGTTCGTAGACTTCGAGCATACGGCGAGGAAGCTCGTCTTTGTCCTTGGTCATGGTCACACTTTTGCCCCACTGCTCTTCCAGCGCCATCAAGTCCTTCCTCAGGTTCTTCAACACCTTCTTGAGCACTGGCATAGTCGACGCCAGCTTCTCAAGCTCATCGTGTGGCGTGTCTAAGTCGGGATCCCAGTACTCAGCTGTCAGCTCCTCGTTGTCTTCTTTACTCAATTGAAGAGATCTCAACTCGCGTTTAGGACCAGAGCGTGTATTCATCGCTCGGTGGAACCTCTCCAGCTCCTTGTCGATGGTCGGTTTGGCAACCGAGAATTTCAGGTAGTCAATAATGTGGGCAGGATTACCTCTGCTAGACCAACTCTCACTCTTGTACGCTGGCTCATCCAAGTCTCGAAATTTATGGCTGTCGAGCACCTCTCGGCGGAACCTCTTCCAATCATCTGCCGTAAACTCGAAGCCCTGTTTGGACTGGTCAACGAGGTTCCCAAGAAGTGTGCTTAGCCACAGCGCATAGTTGTTGTTTACACTGTTGATCTTGTAGCAGAGCCGTTCTTTAAAGTTCGTCGCGATACCCAAAAAACTAGGGCGCATACTGAAAGCTATACTCTGCTTTATCATTGCAGGGACCGCTGCAACCTTGCCGTGTTGCCGCACAAGGTCTTCGTACAATGTCTTGTCTTTCTTGAGGTACCTGGACAGGTCTGGACTTGGGGGGACATTGGCGTTAACAAAGTTGGACACAATGGCTGGTTCCCAGCAAACCCAAGCTTTGTCTCCGTCGTAGTCGCCGCCAGACAGCTTGTCGGCCAGTGGAATGTCCCCTTTCGCTGAGAAAACGATGACATCCTTCAGCGCATGAAGCTCTGGTTTGAAAACCGCCCTTTACCCGCTGGACGTCGCTCACAAAGTGTGCAGGAGATCGGGCCACGAGAACGTCGCATCCGTGTAGCATAGAGTCAGAAAAGGATTCGGTCTGGAACTTGGACGAGAAGCATAGATGCACTTCGTTTTCTTCCAACACACCCCAAAAGTCGATGACCATGTAAAAGTAGGCAGAGTTGGGAATCTTGATGCTCATCTTCTTCTTCAGGTTCTCGCACTTTTGGCGACGAAGGTTCCATGCGATGTCCTGAATGAACTTCTGCTTGGAAGGCTCGAAGCCGCCGTCAATGAGAAAGTTCATCGTTTCCTCGTTGGAGTCGGGGAGGCCGGCCAGAAAGGGCACACTGTTGTGGATCAAGCGTTGCTTCCGACCGATGGAGTTTTCGTTCACCCACTGTCGAAACTGTGCTGGGTACTTCATGGCATTTTTCTGGCCTTCTAGTTCGCGGTTGAGTTCATCTACGAGACTGTCTCCGATGGCCTTCCTCATGACTGGCTTGTCTACAGCGCGGTCTTCCAGGACAGGAAGAAATTGGATGTTGAGACTTGCGGATCGCGGCTCGGCAGCGTGGCTCTTGATTTCGAGCGTACGATGTTCTGGATCTAGGTAGTCGCAATTCCACTTCCTCTGGGATGGCCATGTCTCTATCCACAAGTCGTCTCCAGTGTCTTTAATGTCAACAAGCCACATGCCTTTGGCAGGGCCGAAACGCCCCTGAATTGCAGAAGGAATGTCTTGCAACCCGAGCACGTCTTTGATCTTTTGAGCGAGCTTAGGTGACATGCGGCCAATACCGTCGTTCATTACTTTTCCGATTGGCGACAGCATGTCTTTCTCCTGGTGACGGATCTGATTGCGATTCAGGACAACGACCGGGGTTGTTTTGCTGAGTCCAAGCTGAATGCGAGCAAACAATTTGAGGTACGGCTGATGTTCGTCGCAGTCCAACTGCAAGAGCCAGTCGAGCATGTCTCGCACCTCCAGCTTGACTCTGAGCTCGCTAGGAGTTTCCATAGGCATTGAACTCATGGGGATAGCAGCATGGAAGTTGTTCCCATTTTCGGCAAAAAGACTTATCTTTTCTCGGAAGATGGGCTTAGGGTCAGGACCAACGCTCACGTTGGTCTGAGGCGTCTTGTACCCTGCGTCTCTTGAATAGAAAGCGCGCCATTGCCGGCCGGCGAGATAATGCAACCGGGAAGAGAACCAATCAATGACGTCTTCGGAGATTTTGGGATTATTGATCGGCGTTCCCCAGGAGTTCGGGGACGGGATGACAAGCTCAATAAATCGGTCGGATCCAAATCGGCGGTGCAGGCGGCAGCCCTGGTCTAACGCGATTGGCTCCATTGTCAAAGAGGAGATTGGGCCGGATTTGACTTTCTTGGTTTGTACAAGTGAGGCCGTGAAAGTGACATGCTGTCCTCGAGGAGACTTGAAGCCACTCAGACCTGCAGTCCAAGCATCCGTTGTTGGTCTCTCGGGGAAAGCTTTGCCGGCGAAGGATTGGTGTGCGAGCAGCGCTTTCCAGAGATTATTGTAGTTGATCCAGGTTTCATCGTAAGACATGAGGGTTTCACCAAGGTCAACACCGCAGTGGAGTGCGATGCGGGTAATCTCCCACGCAACAGCAAAAGGAGCCCGGTTGAGCCATGCCGGGAATCTGGCTAGGGCATTGTCAGTACAGAAGCTCAGTAGTATGAGTTGAACGCAGTAGCCACAGCGTGACAGGAGCAAGGGCCGAGAAACTCACGCCAGGTGGCGATAAGCCGGGACTGGAGGTCAACTGGCTCTGAACGTTTTGATGGGCTCAAAATTGGCTGATACAGGGCGGGATCATCAAGACCTGAGATCTCCGAGTAAATCGTTGTGAGGCCGGGGGAGCTGTCGCCCGGGGTGGGTACATAGCAGGGCGGCTTGGTGTAGAGCCTTGAAGACACCTCGGCCTCATGCTCCGTGAAGGAGACGTTGAGAGCATCCAAGTGACCGGACGAAGCTGGAAAGGGGTCTTGTGACTGAGAAGATCTGGGCTCCTGCGAGAGTACCGGTCCTCGTATCCTTGCCTCGTAGCTTGGCGCTGGAACTGTCTCTTGAGTACTAGGAGGAGGTTCATTTGCGGCAGAGAATAGAGAAGCCCGGCTGGTGGTGGCCGATGTTGCGACGGAGGCAGCAGCATACACGCTTTCCCGTAGGGGCGGGAGCACATTCGACAAAGGTTTAGGCTTGATGTCGCTGAAGAGATTGTCTTTGGCGAACTTGGCTGAGGGCAAATCAGGTTTGGCAGATCGGGAGCGGCTAGGGACCTTGTCCAAAGCATCGGCAATTGCTTCGTCGATTTCTTCGTCAACCGCCGGGCTGGCTTTGAACCTCTTTGGGGAGTCCTTCGTGTCCTCGGGCGGCCTTCTCTTAGACTTGGGAACCTCGATGGAACTGTAGACTGCCGGACCGCTCTGGGCACGCGCAAAGGGTCTTGGCTTGGGAATGTCCTCCCTGTCCTGCGGCTTAGCCTTCTCCAGCACGCTGATTAGAATCTCTTGAAGCTCCAACACCTCTCCCGGAGATTCGGCTATTGGTGGTCTCGCTGTGGCAGGGACGGGGTCGTAACAGTCGGACAAACGAATCCATTTCTGGCTGGCGGCACGAGCCTCTAAGTGGAAGGCATGCAATATCTTGTCGAGAAGAGTGGTGTTTTGAAAGCAGTGGAGCCTGATGCAGCACACAATCTTGTCGCTCCGGGCGAAAGCTGCATCGTGTTTGCGACGGCGCTCGGAGTGTCTCGGGGTCAGGGTACGGTCAGGGATCTCGATGGCGAGGTTGTAATCGCGGTTCAGCTTGTCGATGGTCTCGGCGAGTCGCTCGATATGTTTCTGCTTTTTAGGGGTTCTCGGTGCAGACTGGGCGGGCTTGGTATGCGGTGCCATGATTGCGACGAGGTCTAGAAGGGAAGGGAGAAGTTAACTTTTCGGTCTCCAGCCAAGAACATCAGGGAAAGAAGGGTACCTCAGTGGATGTCAGATGGACCTATTAGTCCAGAAGATCATGATGGCAGTCGTCGGAGCACCAAGTTGCGGCAAGGCTGTGCCATGTCGAGAGGCGCAATCGAACCAAGGGTCTTCGGCCGTTGGGCGCAACGAGGAAACAGCGAGGCGGCGGGGTACGGCAGCTCGAGATGGAGAGGTCGAGGGCGAATGCGACACAGTGCCACGAGCTGGCGAGGCAGAGTCGCTGCCGATGCAGGGGGAAGAGACCAGCTTCGAGAGAGTAGTATGTGGTGAGGTGATGTTTGTTTGGACAAACGCAGGCTGCCGACACCTCGCAAGGGGGAGAGCGGCTGTGACGGCTGTGACGACTGTGACGCTACAGAGACTCAGAGGGAGGAAGGAAGGTGCTGTGGTACAAGGTACATCCCGCGCAGCAGAGACATCAGCCAGCGGGAAGGGACGACGGGCGCTGGAAAACGAGACGGGAAGGCGCGCATGGTGGGGGCTGCGCAAGCTCTGTCATTGGATGAGACGCACGGACACGACGGGAACGGCGGCTAGCCCGGGGCTATGGAAAAACAGTAACGCCATTGCCCAATCAGAAGCGCTCTGTGGGTCCCTGACAGGATTTAGCACGGTCCGCACCGGCAGCTAAGGCAGGGACCGCCCTGAATTATCTCACTGCTCTCTCACTGAAGCGTCTCTCAGTGAGTGTTTATTTCCATGTGATAAACAGTTAGAGAGTGAGAGATTGGGGACATCTTGTGCTGCCCAATTTTCCCGCACGTCGTCTATGGCCTATTCAGAAGATTCCTATTTGGAAGATGCGTATCCTCAAGAGAGTTAAGTTCAATCCCTACCTTCAATCCCACTTGGTCTGAACGGGCACCCATGTACGATGATGAAGTCGCTTCAACCTCAAGTTTTACTTAGTAACCCTTCTGTTCACCAGAAAGTCTTCTCATGATATATTTATAGGAGATTATTGAGGCTTAATAGACACAGTTTATTCAAGCTTGCGTCTTTTTGAGGTCCCTTACTAAACATGAGCTTGTTACGAGACATCAAGGTAAGGCTTTAGGTTCGTACTATAGCATGATGACTCGAAAATGCATGCACGACAGATATCTCAAATGACTGTCATCCCGGGCTTCGAAGTCTTCTATCATTGTGCGACATCTACAGCCTACTTTCTATCTGCACTGGAGATGGAGCTTCTGTCGTCCTCTCACTCGCCTTCTCGTCTTCCAGCACCTTTCTGAACACGGCCTCGACATCATGCTCATGGATCCAAACAGGCTCGACCCGATTCTTCATCCTCGCCCTGAGTCCCTCATCCGTCTCAACAATCCCGACCCTTTCCACCTTTTTCTTGTTAGTCGAATGCACCGTATCGAGCACCCGGTCTGTATGCGCTTTCCTTGTCTTCTCATACAACCTCAACGCTCTCTCAATATCCGCCGACGAAGGCAGCGCCTCGGCGCCAGGAGGATAGACATGCTGAATAGCAGTCGTGAAAGCCCACGCATCATCAATAGCCAGACTGCCACCCGCAGCAAACGCACCACCATGCGCGTGCGCCGCATCACCTGCAAACGTCACCCTCCCCTCCCCAAGAACCCAGCTCTCCAGCCCATGCGCCGAGGCATTCGGATACACCTTCAACGAATCCGCCGGCGTGGCATCGATAATCTCCCTGACCAGCCGATGCCAATCCTTGTAATGCTCCTTGAGCAGATTCACGTCGCTGTCCGTGTTCCACACCGTGTACTTGTACAGCGCATCGCTCGCGTCCGGGTCACTCTGGTGCGACGCGACGATACAGAACAAGTTTCTGCCCAGCTTCGACATGAACCACGTCCGGTCAACGCCCCACCAGTGCTCTGCCTCGTCCGGGACGTCGGGAATGTGCGCGAGGTGCGAGATGGGGTACACGGCGCGGAAGGCTGTCCAACCGGTCCATTTTGACCGGGACGACGGCACGTAAAAGCTCCGCACGCCCGAGTGGATGCCATCCGCGCCGAGGAGAATGTCTGCCGTGGTGGCTGTGCCGTCGGTGAATTTGATGTTGAGTCTCCCCGTGACGTCGTCGATGGAGATACTTGAGAAGGCTTTGTTGAGGTGAATTTGCGAGGGGTCGATATGCTTGAGCAGCGCTTGTTGTAGGTGTGGCCGGTGGAAGCGGGCTGTCTTATGGCGAGGCTCGACATTGCCGTGATGTTCGTCAACTGAGACGATTTCTCCCGTTTTGTAGTGACTTGTCCTCATAAGCATCCATTCATGCTTGGAACATAGACTGTGCTCACCGGTAGATCATGGGATAACCCGACTTATTGCGGAACGCAATCTCATCGTCCAGCGCATTGTGAATGCCCAGCTTCTCCAGCGTCCGCAACCCGTTCGGACCCAGCGCAATCGATGCGCCAACCTCTCGCAGCTCCTTCGCCTTGTCAAAAATCTGGACGTTGATGCCGGGGTGTGCCTTCAGCGCAATGGCCGACGTCAAGCCGGCGATGCCAGCGCCGACGATGGCTACTTGGAGCTGTTCGTTGGTCCCCATGATGCCGATGATAAGCTTTCTCAATGCGGAGTATGCACCCTAGCCATGCGAACGCAAGACACAATTGCAGAATCGGGGCCCAACACTTTATCAATAGCCCGGAGGCTCTGGGGCGCACCGGCTCCGGTCTGGAGATAACGTTGGTTGGGGGTGGGTCGGCGCCGAACCCGGCCTGACGCAATATCGACCAGAGATGGTGATACCCCTCGGACACCCCGCACCGTCTTCTTCGCCGCACCATTCGTCTGCTTCGGCTGCTGATAATGGGGTCAAGATAGCAGACTTGCAGATTGAGGATTCCACAGTAGCCAATCCGGGGGCCGTCTTCGATCTCGCATCATCAAAGTCCACAATGAAGACACGAATGTGGCATGTCTGCGCCCTTTTGACGAGGTGATGTCGGACACATCCCGACGCTATCTCGGCACCCTTGGTCCCGATCGGAGTATTTGCTAAGCATATTATGAGGGGCACTTGGTCGTTAGTTGGGAACACAAATGCTCTCACCTATAGGTATGGGCATCAGATGAGTGTTGGACTCGGAAGTCATCTCATCTTGCGTAAACTCTCTGGCTGCGAATGGCATTAATGAATCACTCACTTGGTATCTGGTTCTCATTAACGATGTGCTTCACTGAATACCGCGTGTAATAATTCAAATGCTTTCCATTGTAGCTAGGAGAGGGGAATCTTTAGTCAAGAAAATTTGGAAAAGCCAGTCCATCCATCTGAAACTCCGTCATCAATGTGCTCCAATCCGGAAAGTCCTGCATGACGGTATTCCAATCCATTCCATCAACTCCATTCATCCCATTCATCCCATTCATCCCATCCAACACACCTTCCGCGCCCTCAACCTCTGACCTCTCGTCAGTCGCCCCAGGCGTGGGATACGCCTCCTTTTCCTTCTCCTGCTCCCCGCCACTACTAATACCTTGACGGATCGCCAAGGCCTTTTCTCTTAACGCCTCAAGCACAGTCATCTTCGCAGCCGGGCCCGACCCAGTGCCGACATTCCTCACATGATCCATAGAGTACTCCAACGCCTTCCACGCCCTCTCCACGTTCGGCCCCTCGGGCTTCACACACAGATGCCACAGGACGTATAGAATCATGTGGTACTGAGGATACGCCCTCATGCTCCAGCGATACGGCCTCAGCAACTCATCCGACGCGAGGCTCATCCCGTCCTCGAGGATACCCAACGCCTGCAACAGATTCTCCTCCGTGGCAAACGACTCCCTCGCCTCAGGGTGCTCCAAATTCAGCCACTGCTGCCTCGTCACCAAGTCAACCTTTCGAATAATGAATCTCGCTACAAGCAAGCACTGCCGTTGGTGCGGGATCACAGGGTTACAGTGCCTCAAGAACCCCTCCGCATAGTCCCTCAGCTCATCCACGATCTGCGTCCGCACCGACTCCGGGACGGGCTTCTCCTTCCACTCGGACGCAATCGCCGCCAGCCGGTGCCACGCGCGAGAGATCTGGATGTTGATCAGCGCCAGTGTGATTGGCGTCCAGCCGGGCCTCGGCGGTGGTAGCTCCTTCATCTCAGGATAGAGATCGTTGTCGTCGAGGTTGGAGGGGTAGTTGACGCCGACGCTGAGGTTGTAGCAGGTCGGGTTCTGGATGCCGTAGTCCTCCGACGCCCTGCCGTCGCGGGCGACCAGGTGCCACCACAGCCGGCGACGGATTTCGCATTCGAAGACGGAGAGGCCGAGACGCGTGCCGTCACGGTGTAGGCCGATCGACTGCGCGGCTCGGATGGCGAGGCCGTTTAGGGTCCACAGGCCGCGGCCTGGGTTATGTATTCGAAGGGCTGCCTAGAGAGCATTATCTTAGCTAGGACAAGAATGGATGTGATGCGAAAGGCTACTCACCAGGTAGATAGACAACGCCTCCAGAAGCCTGACAGAGGGATGCTCCAGAAAGTCGGCCTTGGCGAATGCTTGCTCTAGACCCGTCTTGTATCGGTGAAGAGCGGTCACTTTATCCTCTCCGGTGATCTTCTGGATCGTACTTGGGTCAAGCACGACGGCAGACACGAAGAAGACGGAGAACATGAGAGCCAGCGCCTCGAGGTGAGCATTGGCGGGGTCGTCTATCGCCGTGTAAATCAACACTTCCGCCGTCGGCCTGTGTATGATTTTGTTACACAGCTCTATGTTCTCGGCGTAGTTCTTCCACAGCTCAATCGCACCCCACTTGGGCGGGAGCAGCTCTGTCAGATCTAGTTTGAGATCTGGACTCGACAAGATGCCCATGGGGTTGAATGGTGACGGCGCCGCCTGCGGAGCTGGGTCGCTCCCTGGCGTCGTTAATACTGACTGGATCTCATGTTCCTTCGAGTCACCTCGTCAGTCGCGCGTTCATCAGACAG